TTTCCTTCATTTTGCATAACATTGTAAAGGGAATGGCATGATAGATATGTAAGTCTATGGATTTAATGCATGTATTTTTGTTTAAATGTACAATCTAATTCATTAGTTGTTTTGAAGGGCAAAATAAATCTCTAAAATTAAAACAAGTGTTTGTGGGGGAGAGAAATGAATATAATTTTGCTAGCCAAACAAGAAATAGAACAAACAATGGTTTACATTTATGGCCATAAGACTTGTAGAGGCTCAGATGATCTTATGAAGTGGCTGGGCTAGTGTAGTTGCAGCCAATCTATCACATATAGTTCTTCCTCTGAAGGTCTGGAAAAGGTTCTGAAGCACTCAATTCTTGTAGCACTGGAAACAGGATCATCCACCAAGGAAGGATCAAAACAAAGAAGCAAGCAGTCATAGCAACACAATCAAAACCATGGCCCTTTGTATGGGCATGGAATATTGATGCATATATAAAAGGGGTAAGGTTTGATTGTATGGTTACAACCACCATCTTGACTTTTTGACCATTCCATAGATGCACTTGAGTGGAACTTTAATTGTCTATCTGTAGCAACTGTGCAAAACCTCAAGCAACTATAATGGAAAAACAGAGATACAGACCAGTTTTCACTCTAAATCCCATATGGTTCCATTTCTGTTGCTTTTGTGTGAATAATTAGGAGACTAGACATTCTGGTTTTGCTGGGTTAGTCCCAGTTTTAGATGAGGTATCCTAAACATGGAAAATAAGTCAATTTACAGAGGCCAATCCACCTGGCTGGCAGCTGTAGCCCAGCTCTGCATTTGCTGTTCATTATGTTTGCATGATATCTTGAGTTCTTAATGTAGATTATCAGGCTCACTTGACAGTATGAGGCTGAAAATATTGAAATACTTCCTGGAAGAGGAATGGAAAAGAAGTTCTGCTTTATTCTCCATTTTCTGACTGAAAGATAAAGGGATATCTTGTTGGGTACTAGATTTGGTCTGCAAGAGTTAGTATCTTCTGTATCTATTTCTTGTCCTACAGTGGCCATTGGGATGTTAGCACCCGTGATTTGATTGCTGCAGTCTGTTGTTTGTTTGTTTGTTTGTTTGTTTGTTTGTTTGTTTGTTGTTTTATCACAATGTAAAAGTGCAATAGTGAGCACAAAGTATCTGGAATTACAGAAAGACACTTCTTGATAATAATAATAAAAAACCCTTGCAAACATTTACGTCCAATTATGGTGGGGTTGGGATTTCTCTCTGAAACTTTTATTTGCATTAGTAAATGTATACAAATTAATACATCCAGCCAGAAGATCTAATCACCTTATGAATTATGCAATCTTCTCAACTGGTGCTAATTGTGGAAGAAGATATAATCAGACCTATTTAGAAAATCTGAGCTATCTTGAGTCTTTGAATGGCAAATGTGATTATTAAAGAAAACAAATAAATAATGCATCTTTCAAATGAGCATAGATTCCATTCCTTTGCATAAAAGAATGTGAGCATTATCTGACTTCTTCTAATGAAACCATTCAGTGATCTCAGCCACTGAAAACAATTTTCTCCAGTAGGAAAACGAATTTTTCTCACTCGAGCTAGGTGGAAACTCTTCAAGTGAGCCACATTTTGTAAACTAATAAATTGAAAATAGATAGCAGGCACCCTCTAGTGCTCCTCTGTCTCCTATATTTTAATAATTAAAATATAATTAAAAATTAAAAATATATTAAGCAGCAATGAAGCCAGACATGGATGGTGAATTTAGTAACAATGGCAAAGGCTTCTTTTCATACTGTTTTGGATGGCACTCAATATGCTACTGAGGAAAAATGTTAAGATCTTTTGGCATACTAATAGTGTTTATAATGTGGCTAATTAAAATCAGGATATCTGCTACTGATGTTGCCATACAAGAAAATACAATTTAAAGATGCAAAGGTATAAATACAGATGGAAGATGAAATGAACATGGGAAAGCTCAACAGTGGAAGATAAATGAATGAAATTAGCATTTTAGGCAGCAGAGAATTGCATTGCGGTAGAATTGGCCCTGTTCAGCCAGAGGATTATGCTGTTTACTACTAAAGACACAAAAAGAAAAAAGAAATGGTGCTGTTTTTCACAGTCATAAAGAATATAGCAAGGACAGTACTAGGCTACAGTACAGTTAATGACCAACAAACACAATTTTTACCTCATGGAGAATCCTGTCATTTGGCAATTATCTATGCTCCAACCAGTGATGAAGAAGAACAAGCTGATAATTTTGTAATTAACTTCAAACTGAAACCAACAGAACATGCAAGCAAGATGTGCCAAAATTTACTGGATTTGGAATGCCGAAGTTGGAAATAGTAAGGACAACATAGCTGGACTGTATGTCCTAGGAACAGAAACAAGAGAAAGACTTATCGCTTTCTGTCAATTCAACGATTTGTTTATCACATAACACATAACTCAAACAACGAAAGTGATGCCTATATACTGTACATAGATATCATAAGACAGAGTGTGCAGAAGCTGATATATTATTAGTGCAAGAAGGCAGAAGAGCTTAGGAGTGTGTGTATACCTATTTATTTATATCTTCAATGCCACAATAATTATTAATGACTTTATATGTGTAACTCTGAACATGTATTTGAACTTCACCATGTTATAGCTGAGAGGAATTTCTGAAACATTTTCTCATACAGCAGGAAAGGAGTGATAAAATTGTCTCAAAATAAAAATTAATCAGAATTACATACCCAATGTAATTATTTGCATATCAAACAAAGCATATTACTTGTGCTTGGCTACATGCAGATATGATGTGGATGTAATTTCATGTTCCACAAAATAGGTAGTTAAGAGCTGGAAGCCACTTCTCATCTGGGAGGAAAACTTTTCATGTGCATAAGCTACATTTTAATAATCATTAGGAATTTCATTTCTCCCTGTGTTCTTAGTAGAGAAATATGGCTTCAGAGAAATCTTCGTGAGAGGATGCAGAATATGAGGCTGAAGTAAGGCTTCACTCCCTTAGTCCACCAGAACAGTGGTGAAATTCAAAAAATTTTACTACCGGTTCTGTAGGCATGGCTTGGTGGGCATGGTGTGGCTTGGTGGGTGTGGCTAGGTGGGCGTGGCAGGGGAAGGATACTGCAAAATCCCCATTCCCACCCCACTCGGGCCAGCCAGAGGTGGTATTTGCGGGCTTTCGAAACTACTCAAAATTTCCGCTACCGGTTCTCTAGAACCTGTCAGAACCTGCTGGATTTCACCCCTGCACCAGAAGCTTTCTGTTTGTGTGGGTGAAGTGAAGTCTCCTGTTTTCTCTTTCCTGTCTCTGGACATATTAGCAGCTTGTCATCCCAAATATAAAACAACATTATGAGAATGAATAGGAGCTGAGCCAGTCAAGTCACCTGTCTGAGTGAAAGGCCAAAAGATATTTTTTTCCTCTGAATTTCCTTTAAAGCTGGCAACCAGGATAGATCATGGCACTTTTGACACTAGGTTGGAAGACTCAAGACATATAATACGACAAACAGTTGCAACAGAGAAATCTAGGGCTTTGTTGCAATTATTGGCTTTTTTCCATCACAACATTTGCTAGCTGGAGAACTTAACTCATTATAGGTAATGGCAGAAGTGAACCTACAAAAGAAAGATTTATTCTTGTTTACTGCTGTGGCCTTGAAATGAGGATGTGTGTGTGGGAATGTAGCAGAAAGAGCAAATATTTCCATCTGTCTGGTAAACTTGCAAGATTCATTTTTCTCGCCATGTACCAGGGGTGGTTCTACTTACCTTTACTACCGGTTCGCAATGGGGCCACACACATGCGCTTGCTTTGCTTGCGCATACGTGCGCTCTTCTGCATTTTGATGACATCAGGGTCAGTGGGAGGAGCCTCCTGCCAGTTTTACTACTGGTTCTATAGGACTGGTGCGAACCAGGGGCAACCCACCACTGCCATGTATATGTATACATGAGCATCGGTGGTGCAGTGTTTAGAGTGCAGTACTGCAGGCCACTTCTCCTGACTACTGGCTGCCTACAATTTAGCAGTTCAAATCCCACCAGGCTCAAGGTTGACTCAGTCTTGTATCCTTCTGACGTGGGTAAAATGAGGACTCAGATTGTTGGGGGCAATATGCTGACTCTGTAAAACCACTTAGAAAGGGCTGTAAACTGACCACCCCAATGATGCCCTTGACGTGATGTCCCGGTGCCTGGAGGCCGTGTGGATCTGGATGGGGAGGAACAGGCTCAGACTCAACCCCTCCAAGACCGAGTGGCTGTGGCTCCCGGTGTCCCAATATAGTCAGCTGACACCATCGCTGACTATTGGGGGTGAGTCTTTGGCCCCCACAGAGAGAGTCCACAACTTGGGTGTCCTTCTGGATGCACGGCTGTCCTTGGAAGAACATCTGACAGCTGTGACCAGGGAGGCCTTTTATCAGGTTCACATGATTCGCCAGTTGCATCCCTTTCTGGATCGGGATATGCTGATCTGTATCTATAAGGACCCCCCCCCCCGGGTCCATTTACACGGTAAACCAATAAAGCAATATATCAGTCTAAGTGCTATTGCTATTGCTATACATCTGAACTAGACTGTCATTTCTCTGTGTAAAATAATATATGTAGCTATATGCATAAATTTGTATTAGTTTGTTTGTCATGGTTATGTGGTATATATTGGAGATGGTGATTCTTTGAGAGCTGTATGCAATGAAATTTCATTTTAATGTATGCTGATTAGTCTACATTCAAAGTGACAATACAGTTATTCTATCCTATCCTATTCTTACATACTTCAATGATAAAGAAGCAACCCTTTTTTAAAAAAGTCACACTTTATTAGATATTTTTATCAAGTAGCAATTAATTTCACAAAGGTACCAGAGTTAAAATTTGTCATCTAAGTTCACTGCCTGGAGTCTGAGCAGATTAATTAATTAAATCAAGACACTCTGTAAACAGAAAATATGAAAGGACTAATCCATTCTCTTCCCTTTCAGCTTATAAAGAAAAGATGAAGGAGCTGTCCATGCTTTCTTTGATCTGCTCCTGTTTTTACCCAGAATCTCGCAACATTAATATATACACATATGATGGTAAGTTGTTTTCAGCAGTGATTGTTTTCCTTAGTGAAGTGTTATTTATTCTTCCATGGGAGATGAACATTTTCCTCTTGTTTTGTTATTTAACGATGATTTCCAACCTGGAACCTACAAGATACTTCTCTTCCCATGCTGCAAAACAGCACAGGATTATGGATTCTGAAGTCAAATATATTAGAAAGCACCATGCTGGAAAGATTGATTTGACACTTGATTAAATGTAAAATTTGTATGGCAAACTATGATCATGTTTGGAAATTGAGAGCATGTCATGAAAACTCTCACAAAATGACTATTATGTTATGATTATAAAATTCCACTTGATAGAAAAACAGCTTGGGCAGTTCTGATCATTCACACGTTCTTATCCTCCTGGTTGTATCTTTGCAAATAGAAATGTTTTACAAAGAACTGATCAGTACCCATTCACCATTTTTAAGTTCTAAGGATATCTGAGGGGTTTACATTGAGTTCAGAGACCTTCTTGTAAGTAAAAAGCATGCTAAAAACATTTTGCTTTTCAGTACACTAACTTCCTATTTAATTGTTGGGTTTAGAATCAAAGGAACAGGGAGCTTGATAGAAGAAGCTAGTAGAAATACCTCTGAGCACAGGAGTTATAATACTGACCGCTTGTCCTAAGAGAACTTTAATATTATTATTATTATTATTAAAATTAATATTTTAATATTACCATTCAACTAAATCATGATATATAAAAAATATCTTAAATACATTACATTCAGTAAAGTGACATAGCTTATATTCCTTTAGAGAAGTCTTAGGTTTTACTATTATTGTTAAATGTCTATAATATACTAATTAATACATTAATTGCATCATAACTGATCATGCAATTTCCAGAGATGGGAAATACATTCTTAATGCACATTCGTTATTTTATATTTTGATATTAGTGTAAAAAGCTTTAACTTTTCTTTTTTTCTTAATAATACCATGTTATATTAGGAAAGCAGAGGGTATAATGTGACCTATTCCTAAAACATTAACTCAGGACCGAAAAGATGTATATTTTATCACTGATTTCATTACTGTAGTAATCACAGACCTATTTGCATTCCTAGAGTCCCAATAATTCTTTTATTTTCATTTTCATTTTAATGAGTTTGAGGTAAATTAAGACTCTTGGCAATTCTCTCTAGTTTTGAGAGAGGTTTAAGTGACTGAATGGGTGTGTTAAACTCCTGCAAGGATACCAATTTTATACTTTAACCCTTCCACCCATCAAAAAAATTCAGCTTATTACAATGATTTCAAACTAGTAGTATCAATTTCTTTTTGTGGCTCCTAAGCAAACAAAGTACATCCTTGCAAGACCAAAATAAAATTGTGTAGTACCCTGTTGTTAATATAAGCCATCATACTGCTTTTTCTCTAGCATCTATTTTAGTGAAAATTACCCGTATCACTGAGTTATGGTCATTACACTTCCACAAATTATCTGTTATTGATATACCATTTGAATTAGATGTTTTAACTTTACCTTCACAGATATGGAAGTCAAACATATCAACAAACGTGCCTCTGGCCAAGCTTTTGAACTCATCTTAAAGCCGCCATCTCCTGTCTCGGAAGCACCCCGGACTATAGCCTCTCCAAAGAAGAAAGATGTGTCCCTTGGAGAGATCCAGAAAAAGCTGGAAGCTGCAGAAGAAAGGAGAAGGGTATCTAACCATATATACCATAGAGAAGATGCATGATGATATTCCTTGGGTTATTTTATAATAAGAGCCACGGTGATACAGTGGTTGGAATGCAGTACTGCAGACTACTTCTGCTGCCTGCCGCTGCCTGCAATTTAGCAGTTCGACTCTCACCAGGCTCAAGGTTGACTCAGCCTTCCATCCTTCTGAAGTTGATAAAATGAGCACCCAGATTTTGGGGGGGCAATAGGCTGACTCTGTAAACCGCTTAGAGAGGGCTGTAAAGCACTGTGAAGCAGTATATAAGTCTAAGTGTTATTGCTATTTTAAGGTTTCATTTGCAATTTATGACACATGTAGGTTATTGAACTGCTCTGAAAAAATTACATCTTTAAGCGTGTCCTTGAGGGTTCAGAACTGAATCTACATCTGTTTCATTTAAGATGTGTACAATGAGATCCATGTTTGAAAATGCAAGAATTTGTAACTTAAAATCAGCTAAATACCTGAGTTTCAATGTTAAGAAACAGGATTGCTAATCACATAGATACAAGTTTTACTGACTTGTACTTCAGAATAAAAAAAACAACAACTTAGATTACCAGAAACATGTGCTTTACATCTGTCTGTAGTTTAGAAGCAAGACCAGGTTATTGAGATTCTAGGGCAGAATTAAGCTAGCAAAAAACTCCAGGAACACCTTATCAAAGAAAATAGCTTTAAACTTGTTAATTGATTTCACACAGTCTTAGAATTAAACCTCTCCCTAGTAATTACATTAGTGTTTATTAATCAGTAGTGTCAGCCTCATGCACAAGTGTCAATAGCAAATTATATAATTGAGAATCCAATTATGCTCCTAGTTCTCTGGCCATTTATCATCTAGGGTTGTTAAATTTTCCTTTTTCTCCTTTTTTAACTGTTTTCATTACTTACTGGGACATAAATCATATTTTCTGATTTATGATTGTAATAAAAGCATTTGATTTGACATAAATCATTGTTCTATACATAGACATCTGAGAATAAACAGCAATTTATTCAGGATAAATAATATTTATGGAAAGCAATTTTGATGATAGTGTATAACTATAGAATTTGCTATTCCACTACTTTCCTCGTCTAACTTTTGGTCTCTCAAAATTTTAACACATCCCAAATGCTTTTTCTCAATATTACTTTGTAGCCACCGGGCAGGACAAACAATTTTGGCTTTAAAGAGAATATTTGTAGTTCGTGGTTGAAATGATGTTTCTTCCAGGGGTGGGTTCTACTTACCTTTACTACCAGTTCGCAACAGGGCCACGCACATGCCTTCTGCGCAAGGGCAGAAGCTTCTGCACATGTGCAAAAGCGTTTGATGACATCAGGGTCAGTGGGCGGAGCCTCCCTCCAATTTTACTACTGGTTCTATAGAACTGGTGCGAACCGGGGGCAACCCACCACTGAAATGAGGAATCCTTGGTGCTGTATGAGCTTGGTTGTTTTCTTGCAGATGTTTCATTACTCAAATCAAGTAACATCATCAGTTTAATGGGGAGTGGGCTTTACTCTCATTTTATATTCTAGTGCAGAGGTCTTCAAACTTGGCAGCTTTAAGACTATGCTGGTTGGAGAATTCTGGGAGTTGAAGTCCACAAGTCTTAAAGCTGCCAAGTTTGAAGACCTCTGTTCTAGTGGCTTGCCTTGTTAGAGTTGGTGGGAATAGTCTTGGTGGTTCTATCTATGGTTGGGCTGTTTACTGTTACTTGTCTGGAAGTTCCTTTGGGGTATTGTTTGCTTCTTGATTGTTAGTCTAATGTTAATCTTGGTGTTAATCTCTGCTCATTTAGGTCTTGATTGCTGGTAAGGAGGCGTTTTGATCTTTTTTGCTTCCCCTTTGGCTTGTTGATTGCCTTCTTTGAATGGTATATAGATGTTGTTTATGTCTATGTGCCTGTTGATGTCTGATTTGTCAGACTGCCAGGCTTCCATGAATTCTTTAGCATTTTTGGACTTGGCCTAGGATGGTCACGGTTCTGCAGCTGAAACTATGGCTAAGTCTGTCAATGTCCAATCAACAGCCCAACTAAGGGACCACCAAATCCACTCCCACCAACACTGACAGGGCATGCCACTAGAATATAAAATGAAAGTAAACACCACTTCCTACTAGCACTGATGCTGTTACATAGTTTGAGTAATGAAATGTCTGCAAGAAAACAACCAAGCTCGGAGAACACCAAGGACCCCTAAAATGCATCATCCTTCCAACTTCCTTCTAATTTGTTCCTGTGCCAATGGCTATTGCTCATGTTTATTTTCACTGTTGAAGTGGGGAGAGGAAATGTCACAGAATTTTCCTACTCTTGAGAAATACTACTGGTTGTTACCCACACATTTTTGTGGTAGGAAAATTCTATTTAAGATAAACTTTCTATTTACTTTTTTGCTGATTTGCTGATATACCTAAATCAAACTCAATGAAAGTATAGCAGTCTTCTAATATTTGGCACAAAGAAGAGGAAGGTTGCCCTATTCTCCAAAGCAGGGTCTTCAACCTTGGCTGAGGAATTCTGAGAGTTGAAGTCCACCAGTCTTAAAGTTGCCAAGGTTGGAGAACCCTGCTCCAAAGCACCTGAAGGTAGAGCAAGAAGAGAGGGAAGATTATCAAAGAGACATCCAATATAGAATTAAGGAGAAATTTTCTGACAGAAAAATTAATTAGTGGAACAGCTTACCTTCAGAAATTGTGGATGCCCCATCACTGGAGGTTTTTAAGAAGAGATTGGACAGCCATTTGTCCAGAATGATATAGGATCTCATGCTCAAGCAGGGGGTTGGACTAGAAGACCTCCATGTTCCCTTCCATCTTTGTTATTCTGTATTCTGCAAATTTACCCACAAGATATTGTATCAGTTTTATATTCAATCCAGATCTTTTTGAGAGTTTCAAAATTTAAAGGAAAAACCTGTTTAACCTTCCCCTCCCCAGCCTTATGGTCCAAAGTAGACAGAGGAATGAGAACTTGTACTTGCCAAATTTTTTACTTCAGCAAATTAGTCATCCTTTGTCTCTGAACACTGATACACTGAATCTATTCTCTTTCAATATTGACTGGCTCATTTTTTTTTTAATTTCTCAACTTTATACAGTCCCAGGAGGCCCAGGTGCTGAAACAACTGGCAGAAAAGAGAGAACATGAGCGAGAAGTCCTTCAGAAGGCCTTGGAGGAGAACAATAACTTCAGCAAAATGGCAGAGGAAAAACTGATACTGAAAATGGAACAGATCAAAGAAAACCGTGAAGCTAACTTAGCTGCTCTTATTGAACGTCTTCAGGAGAAGGTAACCAGGCTGGGAACAAATTAACGTACAAAAAGTAAACTGAGACTCAGCCAAACAGAGCTGATAAAGCACCGGGGGTAGAAGGGGCAGGAGTCCTACTCAGATGTTGAGTAGGGATGTCTAAGAAGTAATGTTCGAGTTAGGTAAGATTTTTATTTATGCTCAAGTGAATGTGGGAGTAAACCCCCTGCCAACAGGTTTTTAAAAAGCTGAGGATGAACATTCTGACTATTCAATCAATGTTCTGTCACTTTCTTGTACGTGACCCCCCCCACTTCCTGACCCAGCCCCTGCTGATTCAATATGGTTCATAAAGACTCATCCCTCTTCTATATTGAATTCAGAATAACGCCTTAACTAATCTATGCACTCTTCGCCAGAGAGTCATCTTCTTAAGTATTTTGGCTTTCAGCCTGCAAAATTCTGGAAAATCTTAGAATTGAAATAGAATACCTCTGGAGAGTACCAGGCAAGGCACAGCTGAAATATATGAAAAGATTCATGCTTTAAAATGCATAAATATGTCAACCTTTCCCTTCAGGTGAATAAAAGGGATCGCAAATATATAGAGATTTTGCTTCGCATGGAAGTAAGACCATACATGCAGTATAACCGTCTCATCTATGGTTCTCTTACCTTTCGTGTCTATAAATTAGACATTTCGAGCACATAGACTAGCCCTGTTTGGATGTCTGAGTGCTAAAACTGCACACTAGTTTCATTCCTGTATATATATTTTCATTGCACACACTTTGTCCTTGACTTTCATGAATTTGGCTTGAAGCAAACCTTTATTAACATTAAAGTGAATAGGCTTGGAAACTCCTTCCAGATTAGCAATTTTCATAAATCAGTTGTGTGATTGCAGGACATATCCAAGCATATTCACACTAAGTACATTAAGTTCGGGATTGAATTGATGTGATGTCTCATTTGTAGATCTTTTTTTTTTTTTTCGAATTTTTTTGAATTTATTTTTAACATAAAACAACATCTTTTTAGAGCAAGGGTTTGCTCCGGTATAAAATAAGTATAAATTCCAAATTTCATCAATTAACATCTTAAAGGAAAAAGAAAAAAAGAGAAAAGAAAAAAAAACAGAACAAATCTAAACCCAATTTTTGTCATTCAATCTAACATCTTATTCTTAACATTTAACATTCTATTATGTAATCACCCTAAATCTTAAACTTCAAATCTAAACAGCTCTTTATAATATTCATTTATCATTTTAACAATCAGTATTTCATATATTCTCCTTATTTCAAAGACCCAAATCAAGTCAATGTTTCTTTTAAATCACATCTAATAATCAACATATAATATTTTATTCCTCTCTTAAAAACATTTCAAAATCAGTAACTATTCTTCAAAGATATCTCCTTCACTCCTCCTAGTTTTATTTTTGACTGGATTGCATCTTAATTAGCTGGTTTCCAGGGATGCTTTCCTCCACTCCTAACCTTATTTGTTGGCTGAATCATAGTTTGATTTTAACTGCTTTCCAACATTTTCTCCTTCACTCCTCCTAGGTTTGTAGATCTTGTACTCTTCCTTACTTTTAGCTCTCAGTCATTTCTGTGAATAGCAGAATAGGGCAGCTATATAAATCTATTGGCACAAATAATGTGGCCATTTATCTACCAAAACGTTTGGATAACTCCTGATTCTGGGGAAAGACATAGGCACATGATTTCACACAATATAGATGTTTCACACACAACGGCTTATTCAAACTCCTCGGTATCTGCAGAGAGGTGGGGTGGATGAGCAACTATCACATGGCAACGCAGACTCCATCTGCATCTTATCTCATGAGATAGGCACACAAGCAGGGGTGAAATCCAGCAGGTTCTGACAGGTTCTGAAGAACCGGTAGCGGAAATTTTGAGCAGTTCAGAGAACCGGTAGCGGAAATTTTGAGTAGTTTGGAGAACCGGCAAATACCATCTCTGGCTGGTCCCAGAGTGGGGAGGGAATGGGGATTTTGCAATATCCTTCTCCTGGAGTGAGGTGGGAATGGAGATTTTGCAGTATCCTTCCCCTTCCATGCCCACCAAGCCACACCACACCCACCAAGCCCACAGAACCAGTAGTAAAAAAAAATTGGATTTCACCCCTGCGCACAAGGCCTAGTTTTGTATTGTGGAGTTGCAATTACACATGTCTTCAGCATTCCAGTGGGCACTAGATGCCTAGTCCAAGCTGTTCTATTAAGTTTTTCTTTTATTCAGTTTGTGAATAAAACAATTTCAAATTGACTGGAGAATACATTATAAACCAGATTCAGGATAGTCCTGAAAGAAAAGGACAGGAAGGCAATCTCCTTAATTCTGTTTTTCCTTTTTCTTGCAATCTGTTTTCTGAAATGGTATAGGGCTTCCTGCTTGCGCAGGGGATTGGACTAGATTACAGGGGTCTCCAACCTTGGCAACTTTAAGACTTGTGGACTTCAACTCCCAGAATTCCTCAGCCAGAAAGTTCTCAGCCAGAGTTCCTCAGCCAGACTGAGGAACTCTGGGACTTGAAGTCCACAAGTCTTAAAGTTGCCAAGGTTGGAGACCCCCGGGACTAGAACTCCAAGGTTCCTTCCAACTCTGTTCTATTCCTCAGCTATCATGAATCAGTAATGGAATTGTGTCCCACTTCATTATGAATGCTTCTTTTAGAGCCCTATTAAAGCTAAAGTTCATGGCCAAATCTTGTGGCCATTTAACATTCTTCCTGAAGGAAGGGAGGAAGGCAGATGTTAAACTTGTCTCTATTTTGCCCCTTTATTCCCAGGAAAGGCATGCTGCAGAGGTCCGCAGAAACAAGGAGCTTCAGGTGGAACTGTCTGGCTGAGCCCAGCAGTAGAGGGAGTCGGATAACTCCCCTGCCTATATTATTACAGATCATGAAATATTAGTATAGGAAATGTATGACATGGTTTAAAAAAAAAAAAAAAGAATCAAGAACTCAATAAAAACGAAACAAAAAAAATTTAAAACAATGCAGTCTTTGCAGAATGATTTGCTTGATGTTTAAAATTAAAACTTGGATCTTATTTTGTAAATACTTACATTTTTGTTAAAAAATACAAGTATTGCATTATGCAAGTTATTTCATAACCTTTACACGTCCTGTAACAGGCTTTTGATGTCGTCTGTTTTCATTCAGTTAAATTTGTTAGAACTTTGCTATGAAGTTCTTTGCAGCAAAATCCATGCCAAACTGTATACTCGTTCTAACTGAAAGCCAAGTCAACAGAAGGTCTATATGGTGCTACTGTCGTGTCATCACTTAATAACATGGAAAGCTTTGCAATCAATAAGCTTAAGTCAATAAGCCAATTACAGGTAGGCATTCTTATTTGATTAAATGGTCTAGACCAGTGTTTCTCAACCTTGGTAGCTTGAAGATGGGTAGACTGGCTGGGGGATTCTGGGAGTTGAAGTCCACCCATCTTCAAGCTTCCAAGGTTGAGAAACACTGGTCTAGAAAAATGAAGTCATAGAACATTAAGAAATCATAATTTATTTACAACCCCAATGTTCTTCTATAGAGAAAACAGAGCTGTGCTGTACAGAAACAAGCTCCATGGGGTTCAGTGAAATTGAAATTAAGCATCTAAAGGAGAAAGCCTTTAGAACACATCAGGATTTATTGTGGCATAAAACAGTATTCAGTAAAGCTGCATGTCTTAAGTTTAGAAGCAAAAAAAGAATTTTCCCCAACAAGGAGGGAAATCGATAATAGATACTTTTAAAAGGCGTTGTATGCAGTAGGGAGTGAACAGATTCAGATTCACTGCCAGAAAAATTCATGGAATTTATAGGTATAAAAACTGCAGTCAGTTTCATTTTCTTAGGCTCTAGTCCAATGTTTTTCAACCCTGGAAATTTTACAATGTATGGACATCAACTCTCAGAATTCCCCAGCCGGCATTGCCGGCTGGAGAATTCTGGGAGTTGGTCCACCTACATTAAAGTTGCCGAGATTGAGAAACACTGCGCTAGCCTTTCAAAACCTGGTGCACTTCTCTTGTGACAGCACTACAATTCCTAGACTGCAGTTCCCGAAGTTTCATAACCCCACAGTATCTGAAGGATATCAGTTTGGGAAATAGGCATATTGTCTTGTCTCCAGTTGCTAAAATCTGTGAAGAGACCAAGAGCATCTTTGCAGACAGAATTCCAGCCTTAAGCTTTGTGATTTCATGACGCTGCAAGATGTTCCGTGTGCTATTTTTCATCCCAAATCAGTGAGCTGGTCTTAATCCTACTAACTTCTGCTCTACAGTGTTAGTCTGTCCTGCCTACTTTTAAAACACTATCTAAATGATGAGGGCTGAAGCGGTCAGGATGACTAGCCAAGGTGCTTGTGTCAAATAATATGACCAATCTCAACACACATATTGTCTGAAACAGCTGCCAGCTTGAAGGTATCCCAAACTCTCCTGGAAATTGCTGCCTGCGTATTCTACTCTTCATTAGTGCTATTTTCCTGTATGTCATTGTGAGCAAGCTGTGATTAATAAAGAATTGGAGTTCTGTGAACTGAAAAAAAGAGTCATCTGTTGTCTCACGTGATGCAACATAATACTAATAACTAGTATTATTGGAATGACACTGTTATTCTTATATTAAATATCAGGTGGGGGATTTTTTTTTGGTCAATATTCTGCTACTTTTCTAAACTTCACTGTCATAAATTGTGAGTTATCCATTCCAGCTTAAAATTTAGTATATGTAAAATTTCAACTGTTGGGTAAGAATGAGCAGATGTAGAACAGTTTAAAACATTTGGTAACAAACTCCAAATATTGGAAATATTTTTGTAGGCAGAGGAAAGATACAACTGATTCAGTTTTGATGGTTGGAACTACTTTTCCAAATTCTGCATAGTGCTGCCAGGTTGATCTTTTGTATTTCTGTTAGATGATAGTAAAGCTGATAAATAACAGGGATGTCTATTTGATACAGGAGAAGTGTGGTCAAAAGATTATTGTCCAAGTCAGGAATCAGCAAATATATATCTCTTCGCAGTAGTTCAGATATTTTTTGGACAATATCATTTGTTTGTTTGTTTGTTTGTTTATTCATTTGTTCGTTCATTCATTCATTCATTCATTCAATTTATAGGCCACCCATTTTGCCTAAGGTAACTCTCCATCATTCTAAATTTATGTTATGCCACCTATGAGTCACTGGACGCTCCATTAAAACTACTGCAAAAACCTATTAATGGAAGAAAAAATTACTCATACTTTGTGACAGGGGTGAAATGCTACCGGTTCGCTCCGGTTCGGGCAAACCAGTAGTGATAAAAATTACCAGTTCGGGTGAACCGGTAGTAAAAAAATGCTTTAAAAAGTAAAAAAAAGTTTTCAATGATCACAGCTGTGCCGCGCGATCGTCGGAACCTTTTTTTTTACTTTTTTAAAGCATTGTTTTACTACCAGTTCGAGCGAAAAATGCTTTAAAAAAAAGTTGGCCACACCCACCCAGTCACATGCTCCCCCCCAAGCCATGCCCACAGAAACGGTAGCAAAAAAATGCATTTCACCACTGCTTTGTGACTTCTTACTTGGGTTATTGCAATGCATACTCCGTGGGACTGCCCTTCAAGAGCATTCAGATAGTTCCAATGGCACAGAATGCAGTCCCATGGGTGGCTAACTGGTGCATCTCACACCAGTCTATTTTTGAGTGCCTTTCAAGGTGCTGGTAGCCCCACAACATATATAGAGCCAGATTACTTATGAAGCCATCTCTTTCTTATATATATATATACCGTATTTTTCAGAGTATAAGACGCACCTTTTTTCCCCTAAAAAGGGGGTGAAAATTTAGGTGCGTCTTATACACCAATGTAGCCCCGCCCACCCACTGGCCCCCCCACCCTTTGGCCTCTGCCTCACAGCAGTTACCTCCTTGCAAGCAAACAGCAAGAAAAAACAGCTCCTTTCAGCTTCAGCACAGCCTAATTAGCACAAGTTGATTGGATCGGCCTCCCGACTCTCTGTTTTGCTCAGGGCTCTGCCGCTTGCTGCAAAGAGGTAAATTCCTGGAGCAGATTTTGGTTTTCCCTTGTGCTAATCAAGCTATGCTGAAAACAAAAATGAAAGTAAAGCAGGCTGTTTCCTGTTTGCTGCAAAGAGGCAAAATTGCTCAGAGCAGAGGCAGAGGGAGATTTCTTTTTCTTCTTTTCCTCACCAAAAAAGGTAGGTGCGTCTTATACTCCGGTGCATCTTATATTCCAAAAAATATGGTAATTTTATTGAAGTTATCAACATATAAAATACAAGTGAAAATAAAGATAGTAGGGAAGTGGGGGAGGAAAAGAAGGGGAAGAGAGAAGTGTGGGGTAAAGGGAAAGAGGGGAAGCATTGACTTTCAACTCTTTTTAGTGCAGTAGAATAAAAGTAATAAAATTGAGCCATCTCTTTCTGACTGTTTCTACCTGTCCAAACAGACAGGAGAGTCTTATTGCTGGTGGCATTGACTAAGGAATGTTGGCTGGCAAAGCCCCAAAGAAAGGCCTTTTCTGCTGTTGCACCCAACTTCTGGAACATCACTTCTCTTGAAGGATAAAGGACACTTCATTACCAGGTATCAGAAAGCTAACGAACTAGAGACCAGTCTGGTTACTAGTGGTGGGTTACTACCGGTTCTCCCCGGTTCTTGGGAATCGGTAGTGGAAATTTTTAGTAGTTCAGAGAACCGGTAAATACCACCTCTGCCTGGCCCTGCCCCCAATCTATTCGCTTCCTCCCAAGTCCCAGCTGATCGGCTAGAAGAAAAAAATCAGGGCTCACTTGACAAAGAAGAGAGAGAAAAAAAACAACATACCATCGCTTTAAATTCAGAAGCCAAGAAATCTCCTAATTGATCGGCTAGAACCAATCCACTCCTTGTAAACCACTTGGTGGTGGTAGGTTGGCAATTGAGGCCAAGCTGGCTGAAAGTGGTTTCCGATGCTCTCGTGGTGGCAGAGCGGCAAAAAACTGTTTAAACTCTTGCTGTGGCACTTCAAAGGGCTGCCCTACAGCTGATCAGCAGTAAAAGGCAGGATGGTAGTAGACCAGTGCGCTCCAAAAACAAATGGGTAGACTGGTACAGCTCTGCAAGCAGTTAAAAGCCTGGTAGACTAGTAACTCTGCTAAATCCTAAAGAATTGTTTGTCACATGACCATCAAACCATGCCCACAAAATAAGCCACACCCACAGAAACAGTAGTAAAAAAATTTAGAAGCCACCCCTGCTGGTTACCAGTCTCTAGGAAGGGAATTCTGGAATTAAGAGAGGTACCACTGATGATCAATCTCCTAGAAGCTGTTCACTGCATCTCAGGATAAAAGGGCAACCAGGGAAACATTCTGAAGAGGATTTTGGCCTATGGTAATCCTCCAGGAAGATGCATACCTTTACATACAGTGGTCCTAAGAGAGTCTTCTTTCCACCCATTTTGAAAGAGGGTGGGTCTACCATGTCAGGATATGTAAATTTCTGGACTAGAAGGAAGCAAAAAGATAAATAAAAAAAAACAAAGTCAAAAAGTAAGCCTGAATATAAAGTGCAAGCACATGTTCCCAATATATGCATTAGTTTTTCCTTCAAATCAGAATTAAAAATCCTTTAGAAAAGTGGGACAATAGAGTCCAGCAAAATTTACTTCTCTGTCAAGTTGTTACAAGGAGGCACAATATATAACCAGGATTTATCTCTGAATAAATAGGATTGTTTAGAAAGCAATATTCAAGTTATTCCATAGAAGAATAGCAGCGATTAGACTGACAAATTTGGAACAACATAAAAAGTATCAAAACTGAAAACCAAAAGATAAAACAATGGCCTGAAATCGGCAGCAAGATCAGCATCGGCACAAATAAAAATCAAAGAGAGAGATATTTAAGTAACTGGTGGAATCACAATACTGAAGACACTGGACACTCCTCCAAAGATAGGAAATGTCATACCCAGGGTACCACATCTGAATAAACCTAAATTCAGATAAAATTATCATAAGCAAGTCCCATTCAAAAACAATTAGCCTGGACTGGTGCATATCAGAACATGCTTTCTATCAAATTCTTTGTCTTAAACTATGTTGGGTCTTATAAGTCAACAACAAAGCTTTGAGATATGCCAAGAAGCAATTAGGCAGCTGGCACAACTTGTGAAGAATAAGTGCTACAGTATATAACTATAGCCTTTCTGTAACCAAGTCATATGACATAGCTGCAGCCACTGAACCATGATCAACAGCAGCCCATGCAGACTATTAAAGTACCCACACACTAATCTTCGAAACTTCTTCTCTGGTAACATTGTACTGCTAACTAGGGCATACAAAACCTTTGCCAGACCAATTCTTGAATACAGCTCATCTACCTGGAATCCACACTGTATATCGGACATTAATGCAATTGAGTGGGCCCAGAGCAGTGGTGGGTTGCCCCCAGTTCGCACCGGTTCTATAGAACCGGTAGTAAAACCAGCAGGAGGCTCTGCCCATCGACCCCAATGTCATCAAAATGCTTCTGCGTATGTCCCGCTGTGAACCGGTAGTAAAGGTAAGTAGAACCCACCCCAGTTCCAGAGGTATTTCACGAGAAGAGTACTTCACTCCTCTACTCACAATAGAATCCCTTATGCCACCAGGCTTGAAATTTTGGGCTTAGACAATCTTGAAATGCGCCACCTGCGGTCTGATCTAAGCATAGTACACAAAATTGTCTGCTACAATGTCTTACCTGTCAACGACTTCTTCAGCTTCAACCACAATAATACATGGGCAAACAATCAATACAAACTTAAGGTAACTATGACTTCAGCAACAGAGTGGTCAAGGCCTGGAATGTTCTACTTGACTCTGTTGTTACATCCTCAAACCCTCACAGCTTCAATCTTAAACTGTCTACCGCGGACTTCACCCCATTCCTAAGAGGTCCGTAAAGGGGGCGTGCATAAGCGCACCAGAATGCCTATCGTCCTTGTCCTACTGTCACCATTTATTTGTATTTGTTTCCTTTGTTCATGTCCATGTTCATATTTATACCTGCTATTTTGTACATGTTTGACGAACTAATAAACAAACAAACAAATAAAACATTTGAGGTGTCAGAGGTGGGCACCCAAGAAAGGCCAACAATTCATATGAAGGAAGTGATGCTGACCTTGGTTAGTTATTTGTTTTCACCTCTTTCCAACTCGCGAACTCTAGCTTCTAGTCAAAGAAAAAGAAGTGAAAAAGAGCAAACTGCAATTTAGAGAAAGAGTCACAAGAGTTACCATTGCCTTTGATTCATTGGCTGTCTCTTTGGTAGGCAAGTAAACACAGTAGTAATCTCACTAGATGGGGGAAGCTATTCCCAGCCTGAAAGCCTGGAGAGATACCAGATGTATTAATAGTTGTTAGAAATAAATACCTCCGTTTCAACATATTTTATCTAATTTCACATTGGATTTTTAAAAAATAATCTGTAAAATAATAGCTCATCACCAGAGGGCGACATAGGACCATGAAGCAAAGAGAAGTAGTAGCTCTAAAAGCA